GGTTTTATGGACGGAATTAAAGGCTTGAGACTGACGCTGCAACTACATATAAAGGTTTGGGACTTCGGCCGCAAAAATAAAAGGTTTGGGTGTAATCTGCAATAAAATGAAAGGTTTGGGACCACGGCCGCAATTTTCCCTAATAAAATGTAATAAAATATAATAAAATAATATTTCTAAATTTTAAATCAAACTTTTTTTTTTCTAATTTTTCGTTTTGAGAATTTTCAGAATAACAAATCAAACACATTTTAACAATTCTAGAACAAACCCTAAAAAAAAAAAAAAAAAAAAAACTCAATATTGAAAATTAAAACGTGAACCAAACGTATCCTAAAGACTTGGATTCTTATATTTTGAGTGGATGTTAATAAATGATTTGGAAAAGCACAAATCTTAGAAGATTAAAAGCTGTTTTTTTTAGACTTTTGACCAAACTTTGAACTGGAAATGGAGAAAATCTAGAGATATTTTAATGAAATTACATTTAGAAAACGTACCTTTGGTCTCATTCAACTTATTGAATAAAGACCTTGGTCTGAATTGTAATTTTGATTTTTTTCGGCCAATCTTATTTGAAGAATTGAATTATGTTCATTCTCACTTGGAAGAAATGTGAACAAATCTCTAGAACTCCACATGTACAAGCCTAATAACACCAATGAATCTCCAATCAGACTACTTCAAAGTGACAGGATATCACTGTGGCTAAGTCAGTCAACTCGAAACCCACGATTGGATCACTGACCATGAGTTTCTTATTTGCAAATTATAAACTTGAAATTTTAAAACATCTCTTAGCTTTTTATTAGACTCGTCTTCTTAATTATAGAGATTTAATCCTCTTTTTTCCAAGGCCTTTAATATTTCTGATGCATTATATTTTGTTTACATTAGATTTTAGCTGGACTAAGGAAGTTTGAATTGTCTATGTTGAACCCCACCCGTTCTCGAAGGCTGAAGGATCATTATCCTCATCTCCCCCTCTACCGCATTCAATCTATTTAAAATCCTACTCAATCTTTGACATAGTCATAGTCCAATATAGTATAGAGCTTTGTTGAAGTCTTCCAAGAAACGACAAATGACTAGGAGGCCACATGTGAATGAAAGAGAGAGATGAAAAGTAGTAGTGGAGCTTTCGTTTTTAATTTTTTCAATCTCTTCTAGGACTAATATTTATATGATGTGTAAGTTTCACCTAAAGTCACCCCGCCATTCACGAAAATATGTTTGACTTGTTAACCCCAATCTACCGGCACTAGTTCACACGGCATACATCACCATCACCATCACGCACCATTCTCTCTATATAAATAAAAAGTTCTGCTCTCATAGTTTTCATCCAATCAACCATGGATCTCTCACAGCTCTACCTGAGTTTAATTCTTCTGGTTCTTCCTTACAAGGCCATTTCCACTTCTCATCACCATACCAATGGACTCAAATCCCTTCACTTTACACTATTTCAACACGAAACCATTAACAAAACTGGCTTTATCATAGTGAATGGTGTGGCCGGGCCAGGAGTAAGCCAAACCACCACGCCTTTTGGCACACTATTTGCATTCCAAGATCCCATGACTCTTACACCCAATTTGAATTCTAAGGTCGTTGGAACAGCAGAAGGAACCTCCATCACTTCTGGACTGGATGGACTTCAGAGCATTTCCATTGCTAAGATAACTTTGAATATTAAACGGCACAAAGGATCCATCTCAATAGTTGGAGGCACACACAACATAAAGCCTTCTGATCATCCCGTCGTGGGTGGCACAGAAGATTTTCTGTTTGTTCAAGGTTATGTGACATCATCTCCGGTGAATCTGACAGGGCTGACGGTCACCTACAGAATCGAGTTTCACCTTTTTTGGCCTCCATATGCAAATTTTAGATAAACATTCCAAGTTCACAGAGGTATGAACTAGGTAGTATTTAATACAGAAGATAATTTGAGATGTCTAATAACAAGCACAATATTATCATTTAGATTATCAGATGCTTGAGATTCGTTGTAAGTGAATAATTCAGCAAGAAGAATTGAAATTACAATAATTGACGGTCACTTTATCGTGCTGGGGGCAGTGCCAAACATAAATTTCTTGACGTGAAGTTCAGTTACACAAAGAAATGTACCTAAATCAGTCTAGCGTGTGAGATATTTACTACAATAAAAAGAATTGGGATATAACAATTCGCAGGGGAAAAATATAAAGATTGGAATAATGAAATCAACAAATGGGCTTGTTAAGCAGCATAGTGAAGTAGAAACTATTAACTAAAACCTTGAATTCAGAATCAACGCCGAGGTTGGTGCAGGCGAGGACGATTACAGAAAACCCGACCATTGGCCTTTACAAATGCCGCTATAGCCAAGCTCATGCTTGCCCATATGAATGAAAATAATAAATTCCAGAGGTCATTCCGAACTGTACATGAATACATGAAAAACAGGAGGCACGAATCAGTATAAACGGCTAAAAAGACCGTGTACGAATGTCTCAGAATTTAAATAATGTCAATGCAAATGTAAAGTTGCCCCAAGGGACTGGTGACACGGCTGGGGTTAGGAAGCAAGCCTTCAAATCCTTGATCTTAGTCATTGTAACAATGTTGGAGAAGCTTTTACAATTTGCCCCTTCCCCCAATAAGGCTATATATTATTTCTTTGGCATAAATGATATCCTGACGCCGACGTCAAACCACAATATATAATTGAAAGGAATCAATTTTTTTAACAATCAAACGCTGAGAAATTACATTGATGTATGCATCATAAAATTTCATTTTTGTTTTCATTATGCTTTACAAAATTCTTGTATCATAAACAATGATGTCACTCCAAAATAATGGTGCATGTACAAAGAGAGAACTGCAAATAGTGGCCACTCTTTTTGGGTGCGTTGTTTGTCCAAGTGGTGAAAACAAAGGCTGGGAAGATTATAATTCGCCAAGTTGGTTACGTGGGCAGAATTTGTTACTTAATTGCTTTCCCTTACTTCCAGTAGGGTGAGCCTACCGATATACAGTATATATGATCCACCCTGCTCATCCCACAAATGGAGGGCGAAAGCTAAAATATTTGAATTAAAAGAAAACTTTCAAATATATATACGTAGTAGAGTGTTATCACCAGGGTTCGAAGCGGAAGCACATTGGAAAAAAAAGAGAGAACCATGAACAGTTTATCAAGAAAGTACGGCTCTAATTTCCAGAAACTAAGGGCAAGCATCCTATTTCATCATATTTCTAGACAGCCGATTGAGTCTTCCTACATATTTGAGACTTTGTGAGCAACCGAATCTTCATTAGATACTTTACATTTGGCAAAAGCTACAAGCTTAGAGTATGAGTGCGTCTCTTGTGCTCCCGCATGTTGTTTATTTTCCATTTGAGATAGATGCCCAAATTTCCTGAACTATAGCTGGCTTAGTTCAGTTCAAAGTATGGTATAGAATATTCTTATTGTCTTATATAATTTGGAATATTATTCCCAAGGATGATCATCTCTTAATTCTCAACTTTGGAAGGTCCAACTGGTCCAGAACCCCCAAGATAGCTTCAAACAATCAGTACATTGATTAAATTAAAACCAAGAAAGGGAATTAACAACACAAGCAGGTACAACAAACTGTAATTACGGAATGAACTTTATAAGAAACTATATTATCATTAAGTGCCATCTCACCTCGTCCTAAAGACATTGTTGCAAAGAAGAACCCAGTCAGAATCAGTAACAAAGCCAGTGGAAAGGACTGCAAAATGAAAATGTAAGAGTACAAGATAACAGCTAGGTGAAAAACGATATGGGAAACTATAGCAGACCATGCATGATAATATCAAATGCAAGTTAATCAATCTTCTCTATAAAACAGAAAAAACTTCAATTTTATCAACTTCTATTCTCCCCGAGGAAAAATGAAGACTAAGAAAAAAAAAAAAGAGAGAGAGAGAGAGCACAGTAGTCGCACTTGAGATGACGAAGCAAATAAAGAGGCAAATAAAAAGGTACGCATCTTATCCAGAGACAGCTTCCCACAACCATGGTAATATTAACTATGGTAAGGAATAGCTACAAATACGGGCAGACTAAGAGTAAATTTTTTATATTATTCTAGTGGTCTACAGCATGAAATGACGCAAAAAGCAAATCGAACTGCATCAGAAGATCAAATTCTTGGTCACTGTCACCTTGGATTTAATCTCTGTTCCTAATTGTTGAAAAAATAGAATAAATCAGTTCATCCCTTCACTAACAGCCTAAGCTTTCAGATGATGTAGTTCAATAATCCATACACTATAATGGCTGTTAGCTCTAATAAGTTCAGCAGTGCATCAGTGACCCAGTTCACAGAGCTTTAAGACTCCAGTTGCATTACAGTCTATCCTATCTTATAAGAATATAAGAGTAGCCATGACTTATTTGTTAAAATAGTTGGTTCAACTTGGCAGATGTCATACAATTTAGTAAGACAATCTTGTTAAGAGTAGCCATGACTTTATTGAATCTTTGTGAAAAGTAAGACAATCTTGTTAAGCGGCAATACATACAATTTAGTCAATAAAGGTGACATTTTTCTAGTGTTGCTAATAAATTATGTAAACGTATCTTGCACAAAGGGAGGCTAAGAAAGGTATCATCACTATACATAAGTACCAATTCCTCCTAGCTGATTCAATGCATAAATCCTTCTCACTTCAGAATTTCCTAGCATGTGTAACTTTCTCATTTTCAGACTTGAACCAGACAGAGTAAGCTCTATATAAGATCAAAAGCTTCACTTCACGATTTAAATAGAAAGAAATTCATTTGATCAACTATTAATTTATTTTAAATCAAGATGGAAATAAGAATAAAGTTTCTTTATATGAACTATTCAATACTAAATAACAGCCAAAATGGGAATGTGTACAACTCAATAAGATATTCACAATAAGATTTTACTCACAGCTATTGCCTCAATGCGTCCTTCCTGTGATGTAGGAGTCATACTTCGGGAGACAGAAAGAATGTAATGTCCTTGCATTAGATCAATTGCATCCTTTAGGTAAAAGGAAGAAGGAAAAAATGTCAGCATTTCGATAGGATACAAAAATAATATAAGAATGAAGTTGTAGTATGATTAAGTATATGCATTTTGGAATGACTGTAACTGATTATAAATGTCAAGCCAAATGTTATAAAAATGCATATTTGACAAAATGTGATGCAGAAATCAAGGAGACATAAGTTATTGAATACTCAGATATAAGTTCTCATCTTGATGGAATCTTCTATTCAGTGAAACCCTATATATGGAAAAAGGTGAGCATATGAACCTGCTTTGTACCATCACGAAAGTTGTTTAAGTAGTACCGCATGAGAGCATTCCGGCCATCATTTAGACTTCCTTGGATAGTCCTCTTGCCATACCTGTTATTAAAGCAAACAAATTTCAAACCAAAAAAATTAAATTACAATTAAAAATTAAAACATTGCATAAATGCAGATCTTACATCGTAATAATGTTTGGTAGAGAAAGCATAATTCAAGTAATAAGAAATGTTAAACCACTTGATTTAATATATATAGGGATGGCAAAATGGCTCGCCGGCTCGGGCCGCTCGGGCTTGGCCCTAAAAAAGTCCCAGCTTGTGGCTCGACGGGCCGGCCCTCGAGCCTAAAAAAAAAAACTTGCTTACCACCTTTTTTTTTAAATTTTATCTTTTCATTTTAGCTGTAATTTTTTATATATATTAATATTTAGTTATTATTTTATAATACATATAAATTGCATAAATTTTAAATTCTTTTAAAAAAATTTAGATTTGTCACTAATTAAAAAAAAAATCGAGCAGGATCGGGCCCGGCCTGGCTTGGCTCACTAAGGCCCGAGCCGAAAGCTTGAGTCCAGCCTAAATTTAGCTTGGCTCGGCTCTAGCAAAAAAAAAAGCTCGAAGTATTTTTACTCGAGCCGAGCCCGAGCAAAACGTTTCAGCTCGAGGCTCGGCTCGTTGACACCTCTTCATATATATTATTTAAATCTTGCCTTCAGCACACTCACATGTATGCGATGTTCATTTTTTTCCATTGAAACCTAACTCATGCACAATTTCATTAAGAGTCTGTTTGAACCGCATTAAAAGATTAATAATGCATTTTGGAATAATAGATTGATGGAGAATGTGTGGTTCAAAAATACGGAAAAGTTTTGGGTTTGCATATAATATTATTTTATTGAAGAATGTGAGGTTAAAAAGAAAGAGAGAAAAATGTGTTTCGGAAAAAATGGGAATGAAACAAGGTCTAAATAGGTAGCAACGGCACATGAACTCGGGATTTTTGCGTGCTCTAATTCGTAACATATATATCACGTGATGTCTTCAACAACGAAGAATATTGGGTGGACAAATAATACAGGCATCTTTTAATATCCTACATGTTGTGGAAGGAAAATTGTTGAAGACATAAGTAGATAAATTTATAAGCTTTTCAACAAAGTGGTTGAACTTGGTGTTTGAGAATGTTTAGTAACCCGAGCGTTATGCCTCTTATCCTGGACTTTATTTCTTGTACCATTCAGCCTTCGTCGCTGTTTTTACTGTGGCCTTCATCAAACCTATTGTCTTAAGAAATTTCTGAGATTATAGAGGCATCTTCTACAACCCGAAAACAACTTTCAACATCTGAAAATCTGACATTCGATCTCCATCTTACTGAACAAAGCTTAAAGGGACTAATTATCTTGAATGGTCCCAATAAGCAATGTTAACAGTCAAAGGTAGGGGGAATTAGCATACCTTCCAGATCCTCCTCCAAAGTTGAATGATCCCAATTTTGACACCTGGGATGTGGAAAATTCTATGATTATGTAATGGCTGATTCACTCAATGAAGCCAGAAATTAGGAAGAGGTACATGTTCCTCAAGATGGCTAAAGAAAATTGAAAAGCTGCCTCAGCATTATTTTCGGATTTTGTTTAGTTTCTATAATTAGTTTGTCCTTCTTGTTGTTAGTTAAGTTTCTATGGCATTCTCATTTGGTCTTAATTGCCATATGAAACTTCACATTCCACCACTATATTTCCTTATTAGGTAGTATTCTATCTGGAGATACTCCTACCACCGTCTTCTCCACGTTTGGCAACTAGTCATCTTACACATCACGCTACTATCTCTGTTCTCCATCCCATTTTCCTTCCTCCGGAACTCTATCCTTAAATTTCACTTGTCCCCCCCCCCCCCCCCCCCC